ATTAGCATGCTAATAATACCTAATACAATTTAACATGCTTAACAACTAAGCAACTCTATATCTTAGAATTCATTCTACAGATATTTTTCAAAATATTTTTTTAAATTTTATTTTAGAGACAGAGAGCATGAGCAGGAGAGAGGTGCAGAGGGAGAGAGAGAGAATATCAAGCAGGCTCTACGCTCAACACAGAGCTGGACATGGGGCTTGATCTAATGACCCTGGGATCACGACCTGAGCTGAAAGCAAGAGTTGGACGCTCAAGCAACTGAGCCACCCAAGTCCAAGTCTACAGATATTTACATATGTATGCAAAGCTTATATACAAGATTATGTACAATAGCATTGTTAGCAATAGAAAAATGGAACTTAAATTCATCGATAGGGAATTATTTAAATAAATTATGGCACATCCATATAATGAAATATTACACAGTTGTTAAAAGAATGAGGCATATGAATGCACATGGACTGATTTCTAAGATGTTTTAAGTGGAAAAAGCAGAGTGCTCCCATGTTTATTTCTTAAGTAAAAATATTTGGGGAAGATACTAGGACAGTATTGTCTCTGGGTATGGGGATGAACAACTGAAAGGACAAACTAATTTTCTCTAGATATCCTTTTGTATTTTATGTATTTATTTATTGATATTAAAACTGTGAATTATTTTTTCCATAAAATCCTTCAACAATTCTTAACTAAAAGATAAGTTTTTAAAAATGAGACTGACATCACCATTTCTAGAAATTCTCAATTACAGGGTATTTCTCCCTCTTACATCTACTGTTAGGAATAATTCTGTACCCTAAGTCCTTAAAAACTGATGGGTGACACAAATATTTTATAGAACATATTTTACTTAATTTTTTCTTAAATGTTATATATTATTCAGAGACTTGGCACTAGGTAAATGTCCAGAAAATTCTATTGTAGTGATCAAAGTAAATGGCTGGTAAGAAACTGACAAATGTTTTATCACCAAGAGCTGCACGGAAACTAATGGTTGTGTTAAATATGATGACTGAAAACAGGACCAAAATGACTCAATGGCATGATTTTTAAAAATTAATATATTTTAGGGGCACCTGGGTGGTTCAGTTGGTTAAGCATCTGATTCTTGATCTCAGCTCAGGTAATGATCTGGCAGTGCAGAGTCGGCTTGGGATTCTCTCTTTCTCATTCTCTCTCTGCCCCTCCCCTACTCTCTCTCTCTCAAAATAAGTAAACTTAAAAAACTTTAAAAATTAATATATTTTAGATAGCAATAAGCTGCAACTATACAGGCCAATTTTTAACAAATATTGCATATCTGAAACAAATCTTAAATAATATTCTCTGTATATTGTTTTATTATGATGGACATAAAACTTCAGACTGGCATGAAGAAATGCTGATAATGTAAAATAAGAGTTTTTTCTTTTTTAAAAAATTTTATTTTACTATATTTTTAATTGAAGTTTAGTTGACACACAATGTTACATTAGTTTCGAGGAATAAAATATAGTGATTCGACAACTCTATACCTTATGCTATGTTCACCAGAAGTATGGTTATGATCTCTCATCATATAACACTATTATAATACCATCGACTGGAATCTTTATGCTCTGCCTTTCATCCTTGTGATGTATGCATTCCATAACCAGATGCCTGTACCTCCCACTCCCATTCACCCATTTTACTCATCTCCCCACCATTCTCCCTTCTGGCAACCACCAACTTGTTCTCTTAAAACAAAGAATTTTGGCACGGCTGCAACCTGTATCCTTATTGTGAATAATTAAATAAGGACTCTTTCAAGTTTAGAAATTTGAAAATTTACTAAAAGAAAAAGCCCACACAAATGTAGGCTTTCTTTAACTATTTAATACTTTATTCTAAAAAAAAAGGCATAAAACTCCTATTTTAGTGTTTGTGATCATTAAATGAAGCATTAAAAAAGCTACATAGCACAGTTACAAAAAATATGAACTTTTCAGTCATACCAGATTTCGAATCCTAGTTCTCTCACTAACTATGTGATAATGGGAAAGTTACTTCACTCCTCTGAATCTTATTTCTTAAAATATAAAATGGGGATAATATGGATTACATGTAGTATCTTATAAGATTGTTATATTAAGGGAAAAATTGTGTATAAAACATTTACCACAATACATTACCCCGAGTGAGACTTAAATAAAGGGCAGCTCCACTATTATTATTACTACTTTTCAATTATCCAGCAGAGATGGGGAGTAAGATATACTACAAATCTCTTTTGAGTTTTCCAGATTGAGCTTCATTTATTAGAGAAATGCTTATGTATGTAGCAAATTTTACACACCACTGTTTTCTTTTTTTTTTTTTTAATTGCTTAATGTTTATTTATTTTTGAGAGAGAGAGAGAGACAGACAGAGATACAGAACGATCAGGGGAAGGGCACAGACAGAGGGAGACAGAATTTGAAGCAGGCTCCAGGCTCTGAGCTGTCAGCACAGAGCCTGACGTGGGGCTTGAACTTGTGAACTGCAAGATCATGACCTGAGCCAAAGTCGGATGCTTAACCGACTGAGCCACCCAGGCGCCCCACAACCATTTTGCATTTTAGCCATTCCTGGAGCAGAGTTTTCTAAAATACTTAACACATTTCATTGCTACCTTAAGAGAAGTCAATGAATATAAAGCAACTTTATTGGACATAGAAATAATAATTCTATCTGGATTATCACATTTGACAGTCTCAATATGCTGAATATAGTTCACACTAAATTTGGAATATTGTATTCAGTTCTGAGCATAGTTGAAGAGATGGTGCTGACTGAAAGGTGCGACAAAAGAACATACCAGGAGACTGAGGAATGTGAAAACTACAACACATAAAAAGCAGATTAAGAAACTCTCTATTTCATTTAGAGAAGATCTGAAGCGATAAAATAGTTACTTTCAAGTATTTTAAGAGTGTCACATGAAAAAGTACATAAATTAATTCTGTATTATGCCAGAGGACAAAATTAGGAACAACAAATCTGTTAAATTATACAGGTTCAACATTAATATGAAGAACTTTCTAAAACATTATAGCATTTACAACAAGAATGCATTATTTTGAGATAAAAAGCTTCTGCACAGCAAAGGAAACAACCAACAAAACTAAAAGGCAACCAAAGGAATGGGAAAAGATATTTGCAAATGACATATCGGACAAAGGGCTAGTATCCAAAGTCTATAAAGAGCTCACCAAACTCCTACTAAAACAAACAAACCCAGGAAGAAACGGGGCAGAAAACATGAATAGACTCTTAAAAATCTGATGGCCAACAGGCACAGAAAAGGTGCCTGCCGTCACTATCAGGAAATACAAAAAAACCACATCAGATATCACCACGCCAGTCAGAGTGGCCAAAATGAACAACAACAGAGACTGAAGATGCTGAGAGGATGGAGAAACGGGAACCCTCTTGCACTGTTGGTGGGAATGCAAATTGGTGCAGCCCCTCTGGAAAACAGTGTGGAGGTTCCTCAGAAAATTAAAAATAGACCTACTCTATGACCCAGCAATAGCACTGCTAGATTTACCCAAGGATACAGGAGATACTTTATCATAGGGGGACTTGTACCCAACGTTTTATAGCACTCAACAATAGCCAAATTATGAAGAAAGAGCCTAAATGTCCACTCAACTGGGATGAATGGATAAAGAAAATTGTGGTTTATATACACAATGGAGTACTACGGCAGAGAAAGAATGACATCATACCTTTGTACAACATGGATGGAGGAGAGGTGATCAAGTGAAATAAGCCATACAGAGAAAGACAGATAATACCATATGTTTTCACTCTTTGTGGATCCTGAGAAATCAACAGAAACCCATGGGGAGGAGGTAGGAAAAAGAAAAAAGAGTAGAGTGGGAATGACAAAGATAAGAGACTATTAAAAACTGAGTGTGAAACAATAACTGAGGGTTGATGGGGTGTGGGGAGGAGGAGAAAGGGGGATATGGGTATTGAGGAGGGCACCTTTTGGGATGAGCACTGGGTGTTGTATGGAAACCAATTTGACAATAAATTTCATATACTGAAAAAAAAATGCATTCTTTTGTGAAGTAATGAGCCCTTTAAACTATATAATCTATATTCAAATGGTGTTTGCTACTGTCAAGGATGATGGAAAAGTGATTTGTAGCTAGATGGGAGCTTTGACTACATAACTGCCAAGGTTTATTTCAATTCCAAGATTCTATGATCTAAACTAAACAATAAGGCAAATGGGATTATGTATGTATAATTAAATAAGAACCATTGGTGCTTAAAGATGAGCAAAATATGATTTATTGGCCTGTTATTTTTCTTTCAATAAGAAGAAAATGAGAAAAATGTATGATATATATATATACAATGGACTTATTGGCACATCAACTTCTCAAACTAATCACTGTTTTAATTCCACTGAAAATACAAATACAGAGATTCTCTAAAACAAAACAAAACAAAACAAAAAAACAATTGGCAATGATTTTAGCTTTTTTAAATTTTTTTTTTTCAACGTTTATTTATTTTTGGGACAGAGAGAGACAGAGCATGAACGGGGGAGGGGCAGAGAGAGAGGGAGACACAGAATCGGAAACAGGCTCCAGGCTCTGAGCCATCAGCCCAGAGCCCGATGAGGGGCACGAACCCACGGGCCGCGAGATCGTGACCTGGCTGAAGTCGGACGCTTAACCGACTGCACCACCCAGGCGCCCCGATTTTAGCTTTTTTTAAAAAAAATGGAGGACAATGCACTGTGAACATTTTTAAATTATAAGAGCTATATTTTCAGATATACTTGCTTCATTTATTTCAAGTTCAGATCAACATTTGAATTTAAATTAAAACTTAAGGCATTTCCTCTCTAATTTACCTTAATTCTTATAGAAAGTGATATATTTAATATCAGAATAGGCAAACCCATAAAATCATTATACACAACAGAGAACTCTGATTAGGAAGAACAAAGTGTGTATGCCATACTAACCAATTAGAAGAACCGTTCCGACGGCCAAACCTCCACCTGGAAGTGAAACAAAACAAAGAAGAAAATTAATCTAGCTACCTTTTTATACACATTATCTTTAGCATAAAAGTTAAGCTTTATCAAGAACTGCTACTTCAGTAACTTTAAAATTGCAGATGAGAACAACATTTTAATTACCTTTGCAATACTTTGCTTAAGGTGCTATTATGAAATAATTACATATTATATGTAATTACACACTACACATTACAATTACTTTCATAATATACTGTACTATCCTCCTTTCTCCTGTGATAGGACCATGTAGCATTCAATATAACTGCGGTTACGTATTCCAGTAATGTTATATTTAGCACTTGTTAATAAATTAACTCAATAGCCGAGACCTAAATGTTCACAGTAACTTAATACTACAGAAGTACAACATAAAAAAGAAAGGTTATTATAATAGAAATTCCACTTTATTATTTACCCTCACATTCAATAAGCCTTGGGGGAAAATAACCCTGATAATTAAGCTAATTTTTTTCATTATGAATAATACACGCAAAGACTGTGCATACTCTTAAATACATTTAGAATTTAAAATGAACAACACTTTTGTATTTCAAACAAAAAGGTCACAATCATAAAATACATTTTTAATACTTGAAGGAAATGTTGTTTTGAATATCTGAATTAGGATAATATGATCCTGAGCATAGAAGTTAAATAGGGATTTCATTAAAAATCAATTTAAAATCAAATTTTAGGAGACTAGAACTACAGTAAAAAGACATTTGAGTACAAATATCTTGTGAAACATTGGCAAAAATATTTGTAAAAGTATTACTATTTGCAATTAATGTTACAAATTATACTAGCAAATTCACTTACAAAAAATAAATGTGTATTTCAAAGAATGAAATATATTTCAAGTAATTAAAAAAGAAACTAGTCAAAACTGGTGGACAATTGAAGTCCATCCTACATGTGTTTTTCGGTTTTGGTGCATAAAACTGGGAAAGAAACAGAATACCAATAAAGAACTCTTCCCCCAACAAATTTTGTAGTGGCAAACATTATATAGAAAAACTTAGTATGAAAAGTTCCCTTGATAGTGTTTACATTTTGACCTTGCAAATATGCATAAATGTTATGTTTCAACGAATGTGAAATTTGGTCACATACATGAACACACTTGGTGACTTTGGTGACTTGATGACTACAGGTAGAACATTTCAAGTTGTTAGAGAAGAAGATTTTAAAAAGAAGAAAGTAGTAATTTATACATTTTTATGTTTAGAAGGATTTGTTATAGACTAAATCTATATTTTAATTTCACATTTAGATATGTTCTTTCATGACAGCATTTGAAGTCACACCAGACTACATAGGATAACTTCAAATGTTGTTCCAAATAAAAGATTCACATAAGTTGAAATATAGAGGATAACAACCATGAAGGATCGTAGAAACAAAAGATCTTCTCTAAGATTAGGCTCAATGTTTACTTTTACAAAGTTTGTGCTACATCTAGACTACCACTGATGTTTTGATCCATGTGGAGCATATTACTTTCTAATTGCTTATTTCTGTACTTTCCCATACATGAAAAAACAAGCATTTGTATACTAATCATCATTGTGTGTATATTTAAGATGAACTAATAGATGGATATAGCAGACTGCAGTCTAGTCTAGAGGAGATGCTATAATTTTCTTTCCATAACTTATTTCTTATAGGAAAGATTTAGGTTTCTAACCTAAACATCCCTGGGTCTACATTCATGTAGCCTCAAAATAAGAATTTATGTAAGGCATACAACTGGAATAGTTATAGAATTAAAGATTTTTTTGTGTGTGTGAATGTTATTCACAGTGTGATGATAAGAACAGATCAAGGAATAGTTTCCTGAGTAAATGAAGTGATACCTAGTTCTCAAGTGTCTGGCTCAGAGAGGTAGTCAGTAATAGCTGTTACCATTCTGGCCATTATTTTCTAATTAAAACAAATCATTAAAGATTTATCATTATGTGATAGTGATCACTATAGTAATAAGACTTAGTAAGAATACTTCCCATTGATGAATTAGTTAAGCAAAGCATTATACAAAGCATCACAAATGAGTGTATGCTAAGAAGGCAATTTTCTGTAAGAATGATTCAAGTAATCCACTGTTTCTGACAATTCAGGAAATGCCACCCAATTAAATCTTAAAATCTCATGTACATTAAAATTCTATGTTTGGAAACTTTGAACATTACTTAAAACAACATAAAATGAGGACATTTTAATGACTTTAACCAATCATCTTAATATACTATCAGAACTTCTCTTACAAAAAGGAAGTTTTGGGGCCCCTGGGTGGCTTAGTTGGTTAAGCATCCAACTCTGGATTTCGGCTCAGGTCATGACTTCAGGGTCCTGAGATTGAGCCCTGCTTCGGGCTCCACCATGGGCGTGGGTCCTGCTCAAGATTTTCTCTCTCTCTCTGCTTCTCTCCCCAACTCACATTCTGTCTAAAATTTAAAAAAAAAAGTTGTTTTAGAAAGGTAAATTTTTTTTCTAAAGGGTTCTATTATGTAAATTTACTAGATTCAAATTTGGAAGGCTCAGGTAAAGTTTGGTCATTTTGAAGGTTGGTCATGGGGAATAAGATGAAGCCACCTTATTACTATTTTAAAATTCAAACTTTTATTGTGTGTGTATGAGGTGAAAGGATTTGATATGGACATATACACACACATATAGCAGCAAAGTTCCTCTGTTCTTCCAAATTTCAGTGTGACAAGACCTTACATTTCCCTAAAATACCTCTGTTTATATAAGGTATTTTGATATACCTCACTTGATACACTGAGGTTCTGACGTAAGTTTGAGCAAGTTTGTAGCTATGCCTTCATCAAAAAATCTAAAGCTTAAGCAACCAACCATGACAGGCTATCTTGACATGCTACATTGAACCAAAGCTCGTTTTAATATATGTTTAAATGCAAATATCCATTAGTAATTTTATTTGAAAAGGAACACAGATTTCACATTAATAGTTCCCAATTAAAATAGACTATCTTTTCCCAATAGTTCACTGTTTGACAGGTACGTAACAGGAAAGGAAGCAATCATCTTATTTCTGTGATGAAACATAAGGAGTGAAATGGTCTTGTTTATTGCCTCCTTTCTCTTTTAATCAGATCTCAGGCAATCATCACATTGAAGTCACTAAGCAAATAAACTCTTGGTTTTACTTATGGATTTCTTTAATAAGTCTATGTATTTCCAGCTTACTAAAAATACAGGTAGAATAGTTTATCAACATGTAAGATAATGAGTTTGAAAGCTTGAGGATTCTTTTAAAGTGTTAATTTCAAGGTTTTAAATTTTAAAAATGACACAGCATTTTGTCTGAAAACTAGGAAAAAATCTAATACTTTAGAAAACATTACCAGAAAATTTAAGATCTTGACAATTATCTTGAAATTTTATGATTTTTAAAATACAAAGGGTTGTTTTTTATTCATGTGAATAATTAGCAAATGATTTAAAATTTTAATTTTTATAACTTTTGTTTTTAAAATTTTTTTTTTTTCAACGTTTATTTATTTTTGCGACAGAGAGAGACAGAGCATGAACGGGGGAGGGGCAGAGAGAGAGGGAGACACAGAATCGGAAACAGGCTCCAGGCTCTGAGCCATCAGCCCAGAGCCCGACGCGGGGCTCGAACTCCCGGACTGCGAGATCGTGACCTGGCTGAAGTCGGACGCTTAACCGACAGCGCCACCCAGGCGCCCCTATAACTTTTGTTTTTAAAAGTCTATTTATTTTGAGAGCATGTGCATGTGTGGGGGAGTAGTAGGAAGAGAGAATTCCAAGCAGGCTCTGACATTGTGAAGCCCCATGCAGGGTTCAATCCCACCAACCTTGAGATCAAGACCTGAGCAGAAATCAAGAGTCGATGCTTAACCGACTGAGCCACCCAGGCACTCCTACAATTTTTTTTTTTTTTTTTTTAAGTAGGCTCCATGTCCAATGTAGGGCTTGAACTCACAACCCTGATATCAAAAGTCACATGCTCTACCAACTGAGCTCGCCAGGGACCCCAGAAAATGATTTTAAAGGTAGAAAATTCAATCCCCATACACTTCCCAAAACAAATCTCTAATTAAGCTATAAATTCTGGGTAAGCAAGGCCAAATTAATATATTGGGACAAGAAGGCCCAGAAGTGAAATCTTACAAAGACATCTCCTTTTTCAGTTACAGGAAGTAAAAGGGAAAAGAACGAAAAGTCAGGAAAGACAACGATTTATATCAGTTCTTTCTAGTGTTTTCTATAAAGGAATAGTTTTGTATAAAATCATAGAAGGTCATTTTAGGGAAAAAACAATGCACAAAAAGTTCATATTCTTTCCTTGGTTCATAGCAATGTCCTTAACTACTTAATGCCATACCTCAAATTAAATTGCAGTTTATTTCGTTAACAATTCAACCTTTTCATCTGTCACTAGGAGGTAGTAAATATCATGACAATCCTTGATTATCAAAACTATTAGCTGGGCAAATATAGGAAACAAATAGAAAAAGCTACTAACAGTGAGAATGGTTCTGTAGTTTAAATTATATGAAACAGTTTTATATAACAATACAAAGGAATAAGCTACATTTCCCTTAAATGTACAGATATCAGTTGCTAAACTATCATAACCAGGATTATTTTTAATATATAGTCCAAACTCAAAGTACATTTCACACTCTATATTAAGACACTGTGGTGCAAAGGAAATAAGCCCACCAGTATTTTTACTTTTTGACATTAGTGTTGAAAATTGGCAGCAACCATCAGGCTTCTTTGGAGTGTTCTTCCCGAACTATTATTTATCCCAAATCCCTATCTTCTATTCACTTGACTGTCAAAACTGAGTAAGTTCCAAACAGCACATAAATTTTAAGCCAGTCAAACCTGGGAAATCACTCTTTCTTCAAGTATCCTTTTGAAGGATGAGGTTGGGGAAAATTCCTCCAGGTTAGACAATATAATCCTAGGATGAGCTATATTTTTTTATTCTAGAAAAAAAGAAATCCTGCCAGAATTCTTCACCTACTGTAAACTTTTTCCAATCTTTAGAAGAAGAAAAATAAAATATTTACATATAGTGTCCTCGTATAACAACATAAATGTCCTGGAAAGGCAAGGCTGGGAGCCTGGGTTAGGAAATCTTAGAATTTGAAAAAATTTCAATGTGGCCAAGTTGGAAAATGTATGTCAATATCTAACAAAATTTAAGTTGTCATAACAAAAGTATTTAATATGATTAGATCACATTTAAAAGATGTTGATATGGGGAATCCTCAAATTTATAAAGCACTTGGGAATATGAATAGAAATACCAGCATATGTTCAAAAGACCAACATTCAATTTGCCTGTGTAATATATTCAAATATACATTTAAATATATTTTGCATCTATGCTTAAAATTACATTGACATTACAGTGGCAGTAGTAAAAATCACTGCACTGCATGGCAGTGACAATACAATATTTACTTGTTACACAGTAACCACAAAATACATTTAGGCAATAAATACAATGTTATAGCACAGTTTCACCATTCTGATATCATAACATCCAACTATCATTATATTTTGTCACAATATGGTTATATTAGGCTTGTCACAATCTGAGTCAAATAATATTTTAGAATAACAATATAATCTAATTACTTATATTTATGTGTATACACATAAGCAGCCAAATGTTTCACTTCCAAATAATATTTTAATGTAAAACAAATGTAATGGATTTGCTCTACAGAGCTATACAAAATAAAAAAATCAAAATACAAAAACGCCATTAAGAAGTTAACAACTAAAATACTTCTAGACATATTTATTATTCCAAATGTACTAACTTCTATAATAACAACCTCTTCAACTTCTGTGCTCTTTGAGAATTAACTGTATACATGCAAAATATATTTCAAAATATCCAAAAACTGATACCTATTTCAATTATCTTAATGAACACCAATTTTCAGCATAAGCTTATTACAGTCAAATACTAGGGTCCCCCTCAAGCAAATCTGGAAGATTTTTAAATTATAGTTCAAGTTTATATCATTGTAGAAACACATAAGGAAGGTGCTTTGGGTTAACTTTTTGGTGGGTGCTTTAAGACACATACTTAAATCATTAGTCTTAGGTTTGATGAATGCTTAAAGCCACTTAAGAGTTCTCAAAAATTTGAGACAGCTGTAGCATAGTGAACACTAAATTTGAAGCCCAAAGATCAGCCTAGATAGACGGTCTCTAGTTTTATGACTCTGTTCACATCACTGTATTTGTGTCTGTTTTTAAAGCTCAAACACATAACTCAACCTACATGTTTCAGAATCTCTTGTCCAGGTTTTTTTTTGTTTTTTTTTTTACGCATTATTTTTCTTTCAATCAAGACCTTAATGAGAATCAACTATATGCCAGGCACTGTGCTAGGCATTTTGTTATTCTAATGAGAAACTGAAGGTATAATGTCAGAAATGTGACCTTTTTGTTTGAATAGCTTCAGGATCAAGTGAATGAAGTTACAGATCTCCACTGAATTAAAAAAAAAAAAAAAGGCAAGGACTAAGAACAGCTTTCAAGCTTTCAGTTCAAATATAGGACAACACCAGGTAAAATTCACCAGGGAAAAAAGTGAGATAAATATTTGCTAACTAGATATTTTGAATCATTTGTTTTTAGTACCATGAAATTGAGGAAGGCAACGGACTTAAAACAATTAAGTTAAAATACTTAAATTTATGTAGAAATAACCAGGATCCAGTTAAGGATGTGAAATAACAGAGACAAGAAGCCACACTCTTTCTCACAGTTTGCTTGCCTTGTCGATTTCCTTTGCACTAAACCTACCTGAAAAGTGTACCTTGAAGGGTAAAAAATAGAGAAATGTCAAGTGAAGTACAAGAACCAGAAACGTCATTTATAACATTTTATGAAAGTGTACAAGATTTAACTGACACATATCACATACTATATAGAAGTTATGAAATATAACCATAGACCAATTTTAATGAAGAAACATTCTAACAGGTATTAACTAATTTACAAGCTCTTAACACAGCAGCTCTGTCCTACCAATCTAATGTGGTCAATCTCTGCAACATAATAGTTATGAAACAAGCTACTCTTCAGTAGGCTTCTCATGAAAAATTACAGATTTTACAGGAAGACCTAAGAACTGGATTTCTTTTTCTCATTAAAATATGAATTAACCTTAAACGTATCTTTGGAGTTTAACTCTGGGAGGCAAAATATATAGAGAAAAAAATTAACAAAAATTTGTATACATATATTTAACGCAGACACTAGTATGACCGTCAATATCAACAACAGGATTTAACTACTTTGAATCCACATAAGCCTTTAACATCCATTCCCTTAAAAGCCAGTAGAGTTTGTTTAAAGATTCAGAACCAGGAGATAAGCAGCCTGGCGGTGAAAGAAGGGAAGTTCCTTTTTTTTTTCCCCAGCATTTTCAAATCTCTCACAATGATACAAACTTTTGTAGGTTAGGCCAAACCACGAACTACCTGGGGTTGACAGAAGGGTGCAATCAGAGGCCAGGAGGGGATCCTAGAGATGAAGGCCAAACCGTCTCCAAGTATTAATGATTCCCCCTTATTAGGCAGCATTTCAAGAAAACAAACAAACAAACAAACAAACAAACAAACAAAAAACATGTAGGGATCCCGTCGTAACCTAAAAAAGGTTGGTGGGCCAGAACCACAGTAGAAAGTGGGAGCTGTAACAGCATTTAAAAGTCTCAGTGTAACCCTTCCTCCCCTCCGTCACTATCAGACCGGACTATCCTCTCCACGTCCGAAGGCTGAGGGGGAGAGAGAGACGTGAGGTTAGGGTGGCTTCCCCGGCAGGTGCCCTCCCTAAACCCAAATCTCCGTTCTGAACCGACCTAAGAGCTGGTCCAGGGCTGGGAGCCCAGTTGATACCAGCAGCTGTCCATTCCGTACCGACGGTCGTGTGCCCGCGATGGACACCAGTCGAGAATAGCTGCTGTCAGAACCGCTGGCTCTAGGACCCCTCCTCTGGAAACTGGTGACGTTGTTCTTGCTGCCTGCCGCCACCACAGATCCAGTACTCCCAGCGCCGGTGCCGCAGGTCGCCACTGCCGCCATCTTGGAGCTTCCCGCGTTGACCCAATAGGAACTCTGGGAACTCAAGCAGCGGGCCTGTCAGAGCCAGTCCCAAACTCCCGCCTCCTTGCCCAGTACCACGGCTCTCGTGGCCAATAGGATTGAGAGTTCTCTTTCCAGTCAACCAATCGCAAGGAGGATTGCTGAAAAGTGAGCTCTACGTGGGGACGGCGGACTTTTCTGGGGCCCAGGTGAGAAAGGCCCACCTGAGTCCTGGGTGAGTCTACCTTGGTTCTTTGGGGATAGAGGTGGGTCGTGTTCAAAATTTTTCTCGTTTTGAGTATTCACTCTGAGTTAAAGAAAAGGCTAGTAAAGGAGCGATATATCTAGAAACTACCAGTGGGAAATTGCACCTTTCACCGCTCCTTGGTAAAGAGAAGATATTTTCCCTCGCCTCTTTCTCTTCTGATTTCTGAAAGAAAATTCATACCGCCTTTAACATCAGGATTGTTTTTTTTTCCTTTTTCTTTCTTTTTTTTCTTTTTCGGGATGGTTGTGTTATATTGAAGAAATTGGAATTGGAACTCTTAATGAGTTGCTTGCTCAGCATCTGGGCTCAGTTCATCAGTGCCGATGCCAGGGAGGTGGGTTGGATTTAGACCTTAAGGGGAAAACTCTTGAGCTTTGAGGCGATTTGGTGTTCCTGTTTCAAACAGCAAATGACAAAATGTACTTCTCTGACAAGTCCCCGTGAGAAGCTTTCGTTAATTTTAATTAGTGCTTCTGGAAGTCTTGGGGCGCGTTTCCATAAGTAGTGTGAATGACAAGTGTTACTCTGACAACCTTGTTCACACATTTAATTGTCATTTGCTGTTAAGGCAGCTGCAAATAACAGAAAATACTTTAAGTCTCTTCCCCCGCCCCCCCCCCCAAAAAAAACCTGGTGAGTATTGGATGTGTATGTACTTTCTTTTTCTAGTGATTTGTGAACTCTGAATTGAGAGCTTTTTTATTAGAATTTTATGTGCTGAAAAAAGATGTGATTTAGAGATGTGTCTTTGGATTTAAAACTTTTCTCAAAACTGAGCTGGTTAGAGGAGTGATTTTTAAGGTATTCACGATTGACAAATGACTAAACTAAAATAGACTCCCAAATCAAGCCTGCATTACTAGATTATTGGTTTTGACAGTGATCTATGATACTTTAAAAATATATCCAACCTCACTGAAATTCTTGCCATAGGATTGTTTTAAATCGCAGTGACTTGTTAAAACTTTTTGGCCTGTTCTGTTTGATAAATTGCAGTTAGTATTGTGAAATAGTGGCTGGTGGGTTTTGTTTTTGTTTTTAAAGTAAAATGTTAAGACTACAAAACAAACCACCTTACTCTTTAACAATATATCAGCTGCAAAGCTTGATCAAGGTTTAGATACTTTCATTTAGACTCTTTCATCAGTATATATTTGTAATCTAAATTATTCAATAAATAGCTGTTGAGTGCTTGCCTTCTGCTTAGACCTAATATGTCATTTTAGACCTATTGAAGTAAAAATGTTCTCATTTGGGGATACAAGATTAACATGTAGAAAACAGCATAGCAGTTGAAATGAACACATTGGACAATTGGCGCTAATATTTTCCTGTGGTGAATAAGTACTAAGAAGGCCAAAACAAAAGGAACAAAGCAGTCTAATATCAAATGGAAACTTCTTGGATATTTTTGCTGCTCTGAAAACTTTGAAATACTACCAATATTGAATGTTTATGGGCTTCTTTACTACATATTCCCTTATTTTCTACTCCATTTACTTCACCCGTTAGTTTTTTTTTTGTTTTTTTTTTTTTTT